TTTGCATCCTCAACATCTTGTTGTAGCGTATAAGTGCAGAATAGACTTGCTGAGGTGCTGGGGTAAATGAAGAGGTCTGGAGTGAGCAGATGCCCAGTTTAACACTGTTGCCAAAAATCATGGGTCTGATTATAGCTCCTTGGTTTGAAAGAAAACAATAAATCAGCGTTTGAAGAGGGTTTGAGATCTGTACAGCGTTATGGTTAACATATATGCTTCAGCAAATCTTTTTTCCTCATGTGTAGAAACTCTTGGCTTATGTCTCCATCCACATCTTTTTTTTTTTTTTTGGCTGCAGCCAGGCACACTAAATAGTGATTAAACAAAAAATTAAATTTCCATTTTTGTGCATTTGGCATTTGAACGCTGATCAATTGCTTTGGCGGCGTGTTAAGCAACAGTGTGGTAGACAACAGAAGGGGCTTATTTACAGCAATCTGTCTAAATCCATTTTCAATGTATTGCTTAATATGCCTTTTTACTTTAGTTCATTTTCAGTTTTTAAAAAATGAAGGCTGGAAACAGGAAGGAGAACAGTTTAAGATATTGCTGGAGAAGTAATCACTCCTTAGTGGTAAACAACTTGCAGCTCCTAAGGAAAAGAGAATGTGCTTGAGCTGAAATAGAAGTTATGGGCTTGTTGGAGGAGTTAATGGATGGAATTCAATGGCTGGTGCACTTACACAGCCTGACTACATGATCATAATGAAGCCTTCATGCTTTAAAATGTGCTTTTTACATGCTGTTTACAATTGACCATTTAAAAAAAAAAAAAAAAAAGCAATATTTTTGCAAAATGCAAAGCTAACGCAGAGCAAAAGTGAAAATTGCTGACCTCTTTTATAGGGATAGAAATTCACGTCCATAATGTGAATTTACCCTAACCATGCAGAATTGACAGCTCCAATGTTCAAACAATGGTCACTGCTTTCCACAGATAAAATGCACATCATAAGGGGGGGATATGCTGGAGGGTTTGGACAAAAATGTTCTACCTCCTGCTATGCAGTTAGAATTAATGAGAAATTAGGATGAGAGTGGCAATTGAGATGAAATACAGCATTACACATATGACATAGCTCCCCATAAAGGAGATGCTCATTTAAGACTTAAAGCAAAAATCAGTCCTAGGAAACTTGCTGTGTTTTGCAGATTGCTCTGATATCACAGTCTAGAGCATTTGTTGAAGGAGTATCATCAAGTTATGTAATTTGCATAATTGAGTCAAATCCCATGCAGCATCCCTGAAGGAAACCACTAAAAAAAGCAACATTCTGGTCCCTGTATGCTGTGTCTGGATTTCTAGAGCTCAGACATCTTTTACAAAGCCCTGCTGATAGTGGTGCCATGAGATAAGAACTGCAGTTGAGGAGGGGGAAGGCAAATGTTTTATGGTTCATTCTGACTTCTTTTGGTGGTCTGCTGAGATTAGGTTGGCGTTGCAAGTGTGGTTCTTAACCAGAAATACGGCTGTGATTGGGCTGCTGCAGCTCCACCTTCCCTCCAGGGCTGTGTGGATGGTGAGGGCTGGCAAGGTCACTGAGGCAAAGACACTGATACTCCTTTTCTAGCACTGAAAATCACTTCAAAATTAATGTTTAGACACTGTTGACAGAACTTGTCAGTGACTCACAGCAGACTTTTCAGTTACGCTGTTTTAACAGCGACCTGCAAAACCAGTGTAAGCATTGTATGTTTGTTTGCAAGGGATACAGTAAGAAATAGTCTAACCTCTTAACATTTACCCAAGCTGAATTAAATGTAGTGGAGGACTCCAGTGTTGGATGAAGTAAGGTAACTTCTCTGCCCAAGACCAAAAAAAGCTCCAGAATGCCGCATGTCTGCCATGACCTGGAACTGCATCTACTCTTCAGGATTCTAAAAGCCACTTGGAGGTTTATGTTGATCCAACAGAGGTTCATGTTGTGCTTATCCTGTGTGAATCTCTCTTGGTGTTCAGTTGTCCAGGGCAGAAACACCATGAGCACTGCAGGCAGAGGAGCTGATAATGACTCACCCTGCACAGTCCTCATTTCATTTTGCCGATGCCAACATGAAGAAATGTTGATCCTTTTAAGTCTCCAAGACTGAGACTTGTACTGAGCTGTACAGAGCCTGTTCCCAGGACTCAGGATCAATAGCTCTTGCTCTGTGTACCTCTGAAGTCCCACACTGCAGTTCAGAGAGGTCTGAATAACTGATACATGTGCTTCATAGTTTTCCCTCTTGCTTAATTTAAAGCTTGTGAATTGCTGACATGTGTGGCCCTGACAGGATTAGCTTAACCCAGCTCACAGATATTTTTGTGTGTAAATTTATCTGGGACTGAGAGAAATACATCTGTGTGCTTGACTTTCTACTGTCCATCTGCCTCATTGGTGCTGTGTGTAATGCAGTGGCAGTCTGTGATTTTTTTGTTTTTTGTTTTTGTGCTGCTGCCTGCTTTCCCTCTATCTCAGAGTTTAAATTGCTTGCATTAGGTTGTTGCTTGCTCTGAGGATGTTTACATGCACATTGCTGACCCCTCTGAAGAATGGCTTGAAGCTGTGCAGAAAATTTACTTCCCGGTACACATTATCCTACACTGAGCACACAAACACAAGGATCACTCCAGCCCAGAGCCTGGGGATGCACACGCTGAGCAGGGATGGCTGCAAATGCTTTTTAATGGCTTTTAGGCTGCTGCTGTGGTGGGACAGCTGTGTAATGGTGAGAGATGCCCCTCCTGAACCAGCCCAGTGCTGTGGCTTCCCTCAGAGGGTTCTGGAGATGTCGGTGTGAGTCCTTTGTGTGTTTGAAGCATCTCTCCTGTCTCCTGGGAGCTGTTGTGGAGGACAGCTCCAGATCCATCCAGTTAGTGTGTTCCAGAAGGAATGAGTCGTGGTTGTATCCCAGCTGGCAGCTCAGCCCCACGCAGCCGCTCGCTCACCCCCGCTGTGGGGTGGGGTGAGAACTGGCAGAGTAGAAGTGAGAAAACTCATGGGTTGAGATAAAGAGTTTAAAAAGTAAAGCAAAAACCCCGCAAAGCAAAACAAACCAGGGAATCCATTCCCCACTTACCGTGGGCAGGCAGGTGTTCAGCTTTCCCCAGGAAAGCAGGGAAGATAAATGTCATCACTCCAAAACATCTCTGCTTCCTCCTCCTTCCCCCAGCTTTATGCACTGAGCTTGCCACCACATGGTCTGGGATGTCCCTGGGGTCATCCCTCCTGGCTGTGTCCCCACCCAGCTTCCCTTTGCTGAGGGCAAAGCAAAAAAGCCTTGACTCTGGGTAAGCCCTGTCCAGCAGCAGCAAAAACATCCCTGTGTTATCAACACCTCCCAGCACAAAGCCAAATCACAGCCCCATACCAGCTCCTGTGCAGAAAATTAACTCTGCCACAGCCACAGCCAAGAGCAGCCCCCATAGGTACCTGCAGCAATGGGCAGGTATTTTCTAAGGGATGTTTTCAGAGGGAAGGGAGGTACCTCTGCAATTCTAGTTTAAGTTGCCCAAGTCCCAGGAAGAGATGGGATTTAAATACTTTTAGCAATGCTCTATTAGAATGGATGTCTGTTTGCTGGTGGGTCTCAGTTTTCCCTTTTTTCCCCAGGTTGCCTGAATTCCCTGCTCACTTTGTATGGGTTTGACTTGGGGTGCTGGGCTCCCAGAAGCACAGTGGGTGTTGTGAGGTTCAGAATTGCACTGTGTGTTCTTCCTGCTGGATTCCCCTGGACACTCTGGCCATGCTCTCCTCTGCAATGGTGGGTGGGGTTTCCAGAGCAACTGTTTTTGAGGGATTTTTAAACACATGTTTAATCCCAGCAAATGGCAGGAGGGATAGTGGTGTTGTCAGTGATTCTCCTGGTGTGTGCAGTCAGTCCAGAGCACTATAAAAAAGAGACAAAAGAGACTTAAAATACAGAAATTTCAGACTTGCCAGTTGTTCCTGTGCCCATTATGATACTCTTGCAGAAGACTAGTGCTCAGAGAGCTGGCGAAACTCTCCTGGCAAGGAGGTGCTCTGGTCTGTGAGAGCTTTCCAGGACTTTTCCTGGCAGAGGAGTATCCTGGAGAGGAGACTGGTCAGTGAGCTGGTCTGGCAAAGAATTGTTCTCGCAAAACAGAGGCAAAAATTCCACAGGATGGTAGTGTGCTCTAGTGTGGGTTATTTAGTGGGAATGATTAGAAGGGGTGGCATTATCACCAGGTAGGAATTCGCAGGAGAACAGTGGTGCTTAATGGGACAGCTGGAAAACCACAAGGCAGGTTAAGCAAATTAGCTTGATATTTATGTTTGGTGAGTTCAGGTGAGCCCTTCCATGACAGGAGTGTGTGGTTTTTCACCAGCTCAGCTGCTTTGGGGCTGCACTTGCCTTCTCCTGCATGATGTGAATCAATAAACCTTTTGCAGTGCCTCTCATGACTCCTCTTTCCTTCAGCAAATGTGAGTCTGCATTGTGTGCAGTCAGAGGTGAGCTGGAGCTGTTGGGTTACTGGGGATCTTCATTTGCTGACTTGTTTTCAAAGCGCCCGTGGCTTTTGAATTTCAGGAACAACATAATGAAATGGAATCTCTAATTGGGTTCAGCAGCTAGAGTCTTAATAAATGACCTTTTAAATCTTATTTTGATTTTATTCAGGTATGGTAGCGTCTCATTAATAATGATCCTGCAATAGATCTCCCATTACATCTATTTAATTAACAAAAAGGCTGTAAGATGTATTGGATGTTTTCAAAATGAAAATGGGAGTTTTTAATAGATTCTCTGATTAAGAAATACTGTTCTGCATATGGATGGTGCCCTGGAAAAATATCACTTAACAGACACAGATAAAGTTCTGAGACAAGCAAAACTCACTTCCTCCTCACCCCTTTCAGGCTAAAAGCCACTCGCTTGTGATGATCTTGCCTTAAGGGAGATGTTTAATTTCCTCTTACAGGAAGGGGAGGCTTCTGAGGAAAGGTTTCATTTGTTGTGTATTTATTATATATCCAATTTTTTGTTTAAAAGGCATCTTACGTGAGGCAAAAGAAAGACTCTTACTATGCTGATGGACAAAGGAAAAAGGACTGGCATAACAAAGAAGCCATAAGGAGGGACTCTGAGCGTGTAGGTATGTAAGATTGCTAGAAGAATATTTTAATACAGATTGTAACCTTGATTTTATTTGGTAGGCTGAGTGTAGAACAACGTGTTCACCTTCAGGGTCAAGGTGATGTTCTTGACATGATTCAGCATTAAAGAAAATTCATCTGTTAATCATCAGCTGTATTAATCCAAATTAAATTCCTTTTTCCTCAAGTCCACAATAACTATTTTTAAGAGCACACGTATCACATAAATCTTGGTATTTCTGTGGCAGGTGAAAAATTGATTTTAAAAAAACTTGCACTCACCCCCCTCCCCCAAAAAAGCATGCATGCACCTCTCCCAAAAATGGGAGATCCAGACAGGAAGAATAAGAAAAACATTCTGGACTATAACGTTCATGCAAGTCTATTCCATAATTCTGGGGTTTGTCTTGCATTGCAAATAAGGCCCATTTTGAATGTCACAGCTTTACACTGATGTGTTTGCAAGGGCTCTGCCCCTCAGTGCAAGAGCACAGATGGATCTGTGCTGAGAATTCCAGCAGTGCTGAGATATTCAAACCACATGGATTCTTCCCACAGTGAAACAAAAGGCATTCTGTAGATGCTCCACAGCATTGCTGAAAACCCTTCATCTGTTTCTGGTGTCAGAAGGAAGACTTTTACCTTCAATTTGCACAGCTGAGTGGTTTGTAGCAAAACTGCTTATCAGATAAAATTGTTAAATTGATGTGGTTGACCTGGTGCTAAATATGACAGCACAAAACTAAGAAATGTTCTAAGGACACTAAGATGCTCTTTTTTTTGCTATATGGATTAGTTTCTGGCCCGTTAAGCACTAATTAGCAGCAATGATCTGTATTTACTTTCTGTCTATCCACAGGAAATGGAGAACAGGGAAAACCTTACCCAATGACTGACGCAGAACGAGTGGACCAGGCATACAGGGAAAATGGCTTTAATATCTTTGTGAGTGATAAAATTTCTCTGAATCGCTCTCTTCCAGACATCAGGCATCCAAAGTGAGTATACAGTTTGCATTTCTAGGTGTGAAGGTTTGCAAGATCTAAATTACCACCTCTGTGTTCTTTTTTATTATAGACTCTTGTGCCTTTGTTCATAAAATACAATCATTGTTCATCTGGGTCCCGGTATTTCCTTAATAAAGGACGGTGTGTAGTAATTTCAGTGGGAAATAGAAGATATCAAATCTGGGGAAAAAAAAGTCAGGTTTTGATTTCAAAAGATTTAAAATTACCACAGGCTTGCAACCCTGTTCAGAAGAAATCTTTAGTGTAACCCAGAGGTTCCAGTTCTTATGTTAGCCACTAGCTGAAAATGACTGTGGAATGTTCAGGAGCAGAAAAAGATGTGAGTAGCTTCACTCAACTACGTATGAAGAGTTTTACCAGGTTTATGAGTTGTTTTTGTGGAGTTCTTCCTCATAAAAGCAGCCACATCAGGGTTTACCAGTAGAAATGAATTCCAACTGAATGCTGGCTTTAGAGTTCATCTGATTTTGGACATTATACTGTAGGATGGTGCTGTACTGGATTTTGGTCAAGCTAGAAGGTTTTCTCTAGCAAAAGTGCATCAGTTAGGTCTTAGGCCTTGTTTATAGAAAGCTGAGAGGTTTTTAAATACTGTTTCTGGAGTTCTTAATCTTGAAAGCATTGTTAGACATTTGAATCCAAGATTCTTTTGTGTAAAACTGTTTATTACAATTCAGTAAATCTGAATTCAACATCTACTTTATTCATGAGATACAAGTTCCAGAAGTCAGTTTTTATAATTTGTTAACTTCACAATTGAGATATTACCTCTTCAGCTGTCACAGCAAACTAATCAAATACACTGGCTTTGACACCCTCTCTCAATATAAACACATAAAACAAAGTAGTGAGTGTAGCTCCATAAATATTTTAGGCATGCAGCTGAAATGTTTAAACACAGAGATAAATCAGGTAACTGAAGATGTTTGTGGATCAGCCAATGCTCAAGTTCTAGGAAATACAGTTTGAGTTTACGAACCTAAATTCCACCTGGCCTCCATTTACAGGGTCTGCCTTGGGCTCTGAGAACTTAAACACCAAACAATGCCAGTATTTCATTACCTGAGGGTTTAATTTGTTACCTCCCATGCTCCAGTGTTTCCTGAAATTACCGACTCAGTGTTGCTAATTCTGCTATTTAAACTTTTTTAAAATGTGAGACTTCAAACTCCAGCCCCAGATAAAATTAATAAGTGAAATGTCTGGTACACCAGCGACTTAAACTGTGATTAATGGTGCTGCTGCAGTGGTTTGCTTGTTCCTTGACACATCCTTTCCCCCAGCACAGCAGACTGTAATTGTGGGGGCCTCGAGGAATGGATAAACAGCATGTGCCTGATGGGTGCTGGGATTAGCTGGGCAGGGAGCAGGGTGGGGATGTGCAGTGAAGGAATTCACGACTGGAAAGATCTGCTGTGCAGTCTCTGTGCCCATTAAAAAAGATATACATGAAATGGTATGGTTTGTGTTACTGGAGAGGTTGATGAGAGCACTTTATAACAAAGTTAGGCTGAGACTTTGTCATAAAGCCACAAGTCCATAAAGAGTATTCCAGAAAGAAGGGAGCTGTGTTTTACAGCTCTTTACTCTTAAATGCAGTAAACGAATAGAGAGTTTGGAGACGTGCCTGCAGACAGCAGGGAGTGTGAGGAGAAGGTGTACAGTGGAAAAATGCATCATCTGCCTTGCCGTAAGCTTTGGGGCCACAGCTGGGCTTCTCCCCAACAGCTGCCCTGGGTGGGGAAGGGCAAAGAAGCAGCTGTTGTGCGAGATGGTTTGTGTGGACTTTAATATACCAAATAATGTGTCACCTCTTTGTTAATTGTGGGACTCAGGGAGCTGGGGCACGGCATGTTCTGGATCTGCCTGGTGCACACATACAATTGTTTGTTTCAACAGTCATGTCTTCCCCTGATAACATTTCCTTTAAGCGCCTCTAGGGTTTTTAATATTAAATACTAATTTTGCAGGTCTTGTAAAGCAATTGTAGATACAGTAGCTGGAGGGAAGCAATTTCTCTCCACGCTTAATGGTTAAACTTAATAGCTAAAGTTTCCCACTTGTTAAAGTTAGTCAGAAAATGAGAATTCTAGTTTAAGAAGAGTTAGGAACAGTTCAAGGGCTCTTGGCTCATATTGGAACAGAACTGGAGCTAGTAGCTGTTGGAAGAAGGTTAGGATGGCAATGCCAAGGGCTGGATGAAAGCATTCCCTGCAGCTTCAGTTTGCATCTGTGCATTGCAGCCACAGCCTGCAGGCTCCTGGCAGCACCCCAGGACAATTCATTGCACCCAGAATAAGTTACTGTCCTCTCACACAGGCACCAGAGTAGCTTCCTGTAGGCACAGATGTATCGAACTTGTATAACATAGGTGCATCCTTCTCCGTGCCCTGGGAAAGGTACCAAGAAAAAGCTGCCAGAGCTGCTTTCATTCCCATCTGCCCTTCTGGGGGCCAGGGGAAGGAATTACTGCCTGTGTGCATGGAATTGTGCACAGTGACAGCCTCCCAGGGCCTGGCAGGTCACAGCAGCTTGGGGGCCGTGCAAGGGACAGGGAGCAATGTGGGACATACTGCTCCTGGACATAGGGCAGCTTGTCCTGCTGGCACTGTCATTGTACCCTCCACACACCTCCATTCACACAGCTACCTCTGGTTTGTTCTGGACACAGAAGGCTCTAGGGGTGGAAGAGGTTTTTGACCCCTACTGAAGAGCTGCTGGTTGTTTTTTAACTACATTGGGTCTCTGTGTGGTCTTGGAGGTTACCTGTTCAACAAGGTCTAAAGTCCACTTATGGCCACACCTGCAGGAAAGTAAACACTGCACTTTATAGTGCAGAATTTTATTTATGAAACTACCTTGAAACCATCCCTACAAGGAAAAAGTTTATTGCCCCTATTACAAAATTAGAAAAATTAATGCACTCTGCATCATTCTGAGGAGTAAAGGACAAAATAATTTGCTTGCTGGTAATTAATACGGAAGTGCTGGTGTGTTTTGGGTGTTTATTGGTGTGTTCTGGCAGCACGTTTTGACTTGCTCTGTCTGTGTCCAGCTGCAAGAACAAGCTGTACCTGGAGAAGCTCCCAAACACAAGTGTGATAATCCCATTCCACAACGAAGGATGGTCCTCCCTGCTCCGGACAGTGCACAGCGTCCTGAACCGCTCCCCTCCCGAGCTGGTGGCAGAGATCGTGCTGGTGGATGACTTCAGTGACAGAGGTAGGATGGCTTGTGTGTGACATCCCCTCCAGGCTTCCCTACCTAAGGGATCAATGCACTTGCAAATATGTGTGTAATGACCTGAGGTTTTTTACTTGCCGGCAGCAGAGGAATGCCAGCTCAGGGGAGTCCTGCTCTGGTACATTTGAAAGCAGAAAATTCATGTTCTATATTCAGGGTGTGCTGGTTTAGCTGCTGCTGACATGAGCTGTGCTGTGTTCTGGGCAATATGAAAAGCCAGGGAAGCTGGTTTTTATATTCAGCTAAAGGCCTGTGTAGCCATTAATGTAAGATGTTAAGTGTTGACTCTTGAAATAACAAAAAACAAAGCGAGAAGAAGGGACTAGCTCACTCCTTACATTCAGCTTTCCTGACTTTTTTTTTTTTCCTTTCTTGATGCAGAACATGTAAAAGAATCCTTGATAAAAGGTTTCCACCTGGGACTACCTATGTTTTGGCTTGCATTTCTCATGAATTTTGTGCTCCTGAAAAGTATATGTGCAGCATCCAAACCTTTTTTCTCTTGCTGGGAACTTCCTTGAATATTTTGTACTGCACTGCCTGGAGTAGTCACCTTGGATTGGGTTGAAGTTCTGTCTGCAGAGGTGTGGAGTCACTGGCACCCCACATCAACACAAATGGAACAAGCATGTGTCATGGCAGCAGCAATGTGTGCACGCAGCCGCTGAGATCTTTTTCTCCGAGCCATTTAAATGGTGCCTGATGCAAATTAAACTCTGCTTTGCCTTGTGTTTTGCACCCTTGCTGTGGTAGAAAGGGCAAGTGAAGGAGGAATCAATGCCTCTGTTACGTAGACATAGCATAGGTGGAGAAATCTCATGGAAAAATTCTCTGACTGGTGTTGAAGAGGGCACAGTAACTTTGAGGGGTTATGGTCAGATCTAGTAACTGTTTTTTCCTTTAGAGTTTTACTAAGACTATTTAGCTTTATAAGTTGCAAAGTTCAAGCCACTGATATTACTCAAGTGAGGCAAAAGAGCTTTCTATACAGATCCTAAAGGATACATCACCAGAAATCTGACATACAGGAAGCTCCTAAATGAGCTCGGAAACAAGTTTGTGAATATTTAGTGTTCTGACCTATACTGGCTTCCAAGTAGGCACTACCCAACAGCTGTAGTGCTTGGTCTGAAGTTCTTCTCTCATTAGTTTGCAAGCAAGGTGTGCTGCATTGAACAAATCAATGTTACATGAAATAAGTATTTCTTTAGAGGATTTTCAGGTTAAGGTGAGGAGAAGGAAAACCCACCCTCCTGACAAGGTCTTTTTATTGCTACTCAGTCTAGAAGCAAATTAGACAAGCTCATGGTGTAACCACAAGTGAATTGTACAAATGGATTTCTTTTCAAACATGTGGAAGTAATGAAATCTAGTTTCCTGTGGATCTGTTTTCCTTGTTCTTTAGATGTGCCCTGACCAGGTGAAAAAGAGCCCTCCTGGCTCCACCCCTGCTCCTCAATCTGCACCTGTGCTGTTTGTCCAGCTCACTCTTCTGTGTTCCACCTGCCTCTGATAAGACAGAAACTCTTCTCCCTTCGTCATCCATTCATACAAAGGTTGCAAGATGTACTTGAGATTCATTTGTGTACAGCATCTATTTATAAATGGAAATAAAAGACTCCAGGTGCTGGACAGTGAGCTGAATTGTCAAGGGAAGAGAGTGTGTTAATAAAAACTGGTGTAGGGGTTCTCTTTGTTTGTGGGGGATTTTTCTTGGTTGAGTTTTTTTTAAACCAGTATTTTCTTGCTAGCACAGTTGATGTCTGCACACTGGGACAATTACTGATTAGGATGAAACATCTTTCCTTCAGTGCTGTCAGTTCTGTATTTGCACTTTTCTTCCTTAACCACACTGGGGTTGGCTTACACATCCCTCAATTGGGCTTAGATACATCCTTGGTCTTAGGGGGCTCTTAAATCCTTGCACATGATCTTGACTTGAAAGGCTGATGGTTACAAATTTCTGGTTGTAATTTATCTATTGTTTAAAAAAAAAATAATTAAAACCTAAACAACAGCACTTCAACCCAGTAACTGAGAATTGATAGTTTAGTGCATCAAACTGAAATGCTTGAAGGAGCAGAAGTTCCAGGAAAACTTTTACTTACATGTTACATGTTTGAAAAGAGCACATTCTTGGATTTGGACTGTTGGGCAACTGCTCTGGTTATCTGTTCCTTATGATTAAATTGGGCAGATAATAAGAACTTCATGTCCAAGCTGATCATCATCACAGCTGTGCCACAGAACTGGAGAGGAGTAAAAAGAATGAGGAGAAATTTCTTGATTTTTCTTTGCAAATCATAAATGATTGGTCCTCTGTATTGTCTGAAAAGTATTCTGTATTGTCCTCAAGAATTCTGTGCTTCTGTTTGAAATAATAGTTCCCTAAATTTGTAGCAGCATCTTTCTTTTAAAGTTGCAGAATCACTGTTGGATGTAGTGATAGTAGGGGCCACGTCTGAGATCAGAGGGGCACAGTACAAACAGTAAATGTCATCTCCTTCCCTGAAGAGATCAGTAAATAGTCGTCATAAACTCCAGTGAAAAGCCAAAGATGGAAAGGATAATCACTCAATAAAAATCTTTTATTAATTTTTTCATCGAGATGTTACTCTGACAGGATAAAACACTGGATATCTCTGCTGTATCTCATGTTGGCCTTTCACTCAAGGGTTATCTAAACAGACCTCAAGAACTTTAATAACTCCTTAAAGAATAATCTTCAATAGCTTGACCTTCCCTGGCAAGGAGACACTCTTTCTCTCTCTCTCCTGCCAGCATTTCTTGTGTGCTGACCTGTGCTGGGGTTAAATGTGCTGGGGTTTGCCAGCTGCCCTTGAGGTACAGGGATGCTTCTCTGTTGTTCTGCTCTTTCACTGATTTCTGGGAATGGTGATATTGGTCCTGATCCATCAGCCTCTTTCATCCCTGTATCTCATACATGGAGAATCTTTGCTGCACATGGAGAAAAGAGGACTTTGGTAATAATAGAAGTTGTAAGTGTGGAAACCTGGCTACTGCAAACAGTGTTTCTCCTGACAGATGTTATTTTCATATGTTTTTCATCTGGTTTCAAGCTTGAGAGCAAGGAATTTTTGGTGTGTCTACGAAGAGGGCTGAGAAGTTGGCTAACAGACTGACAGGAGAGTGAAGACAGATTTCTGGGTTAGTTGGTGGCTGCTGTGGTCTGCAGCAAACCTGAGGGGCAGCTGTGGCCGTGTGTTATTGGAGCTCCCAGACAGATGAATCATCATCTGGAAGTGTCAGTAGCCATTTATTTCTTAATTTGTTTGAAACAGACAACTCTGTGACCTTTAGCAATAAACATTTTTCATCCAAAAAATGCTGTCCTGATGACAGCAAATCTTAACAGGGAGCAGCAAAAGCTTTACGAGTCATGTTTTTTAAATGTTTCCTTTGCTTTGTACTTGGAAAGTCAAAATGTCCTGGAACAACTTGCTGTCTGGAGTGGTTTGGGTTTTGTTTTTTTTTTTTGTATGCCTGCAGTATAATACAAATGCTCCAAATCTAAAAACAGGCTAGAGCCTTACCTCACCCAAATTTTGTGTAGGATTCTGTGTCAGCCAGAGTGCTGTGGGAAATGCTGCCTGTCAGTGGGGCCAGTCGGTGTGGTGGTTCCATCCCCTTTGCCTTGAGCTGCAGACAATGTTGTCACCTCCAGCAGCTCCTTCCTGACACTTAAATCTTCCCCTGTGGGGATTCCCTTGGTAGGTTGGGTTGATTTAAAAGGAGCTGCTTTCCATCATGTGCCATTGGTCACAGCAGAGTGAATATTGCAGGGCTATTTTTTACTTTATTTACAGTCTCTGCTGTCAGTGTAGCATTGCATTAAGACTGCTATAATGCTTTTTCTCCCCATGAACTTGATTGAGAGTGATGTAAGAACTTTCTCCACAGTTCAAAACATTCGTGGGGATTTTTTGTGCAGAAGAAAATAGTTTATATTGAAGGGGGAGACACCAATTCAGCAAATTATTGTTGGAGAATAAGAATTAACCTGCCCAGCATTGGCTGCTTCTTGGTGCAGAGAACTGCTAGAGAGCCACAGACTGATCTCCTGGGTTTGATGAACCTCTGCTATTGCAGACTGGTCCAGAATAATGCCTGCCCTTCCTTATAAGCAGAAATCAGAATGCAACACATGTGAATTACCACTCTAGATTTCCTGATCATAAAAACTCCTTGCTGTGGCAGTCCTGTGTGGATTTGTGGCTTCACTTTTAATTTCTATAGCTATTCTTTAGGTCTGATAGGTTAAATTACACCTTTTCATATGCTGGCTTGCAGGGTACTAATTGCATCCCTCCAAGCCTGTTGTTACCAGAATGGCCCTAAGTAAACTAAAATGTTTTTTCCATGTATATGTCTCCTGGTGACTGTCATGTGAAATTTGTTTGCTTTGTGAATATCTAATTACCATGCTGCTGAGTGGAAATTTGGTTCTATTCTATCATAGAAATGGGAGGAGGAGAACTGAAGTGGAATTGCAGGTCAGTTTGTAACACCACAGGTTCTTCTATCAGCTCTGATGGCATTTTGTTATTGGTAGCTGGCAGGAGGTAACAGGCAGGCAGTTCATGGTTCTTCAGGGTCTGCTTCAGTCCCTGGGCCTGCAGCCTGAATTGCTGTGGTGAGAAATGGAGCTGTTCAGCTCTAGTGTCTGTCTTGTACAAAATGAATTGTTGGTCTCCACCTAATTCTTGTAGCTTGTGGACACCTCTGCTGTAAAAGCTGTCTCTGTGTCTGTATGAACAGATGTAAAGCTGTCCTGTCTCTCAGTAATAAATGATCAGCTCTCATCTGGAGAAGCAGAGGATGGCACTTCCCTTTGCTGGATGCTTGTCAGAATGTTCTTCACCTGCATATTTGGTAGCCCAGCACAGCAGTGGAACATCAAATACTCCTGGGGAAAGGCAGAAGGCAAACTCCTTTGTTTTGGAAGAGAGGTCTCTTAC